AATTCCTCAGCGTCAGGAAAAATGCAATTCACAAACAGCCGCCAAGGGAAATGAGTAGTGCAAATAAGAAAATAGTTCCACATTAAATTTCCTCTGAAGAAATTTTAATTCTTATTCTTATTAATATAGTCCACAATCCACTATAGTCAACTTTGTTTTGTCATTTTATTTTCGTTAAGTACATTTTCACTTCAATATCCATGCCGATTTCGATATGTGTTCTTACATCGTGCATGTATTCATATTTTAAGACAGGAAATTCGCTGCTAAAAGTAGCTTACATACGTCATATCTTCAGCATGTAGAGAAAAGCTGAAGGTATTCTGGTGATTAAATGGCAATGCATAATCACGTATAACTACAGTATACTTAGACAATATAATAGTTCAATAACAGTGGGGTTAATTATCAGATATACATTGAAATGCATGAGAATGCAGAGAACACAACTGCAACGTCTAGCTGTTATGTTTACGAATATGTGTGCGCGTGTCTGATAATCACATCGGGCATTGTGTGCTTTCGAATCTCCAATATGTGTTAAGTTTTACAGCCGCAGATAAGATCTCACCACTGCAGTAGAAGTGACCTACTGTATAAATTTAACTTCTCTTTAAGCAACTTTTTTTTTCTTTTGTGCCCGGTATGATAATCAATGAAAGTATACTCAGGATTGAAGTTTTTAGATGGATTGCGTAATTTATGAAACTTGCTAATTATTTTTTTTTTCAGGAAAGTTGTACATGTAATTGTCTCAATAGTGGTGTAGCTAGCAAAGCCCCGTAAGCTCTTGGAATTTAAAGGTTTTAAATAAAAAACAAAAAAATTGGAGAGTTTTGGCAATACTTGCAACTCAACAAAATCGTACTCTTTAAAAGCGTCCCTTGTTATCAAGATATTGTTAAATAAACTTATTTACATGAAACTAAAAGTACACTGCATCCAAGATCTTACATAAAAGCTGAAAATATTTTTTTTAGACTAAGTACTAAATTAAATATAGATTTGTTTTTATTTTATAACCTATTTAGTATTGATCTAGTATTTAACTTTCGACAACATTTTTATATATTTAAAAGAAAAATATTTAATCATTTTTTTTTAAATCTATACATTCATTTTCGTTGTTGCGTAAAGGGTGCTACGCCACTGCTCAATAATTAGCATGATAAGTTGACTTTTGAAAGAGCGGGATTAAGAGTGGATATAGATTACTGCAAATTGAGTACACATTGAGTATTTTTAGGATGTGGATGGGTGTTGAGGTAGCCCATTTCCCTGTAACACAAAACCGAGAAATATGTACACATTTTTGAAAACAAAGACCAAATATTTTGCTTTGTGGTTTAAATAACATCTCGCTGTAATTGTAATTATAGTTCACGGAAATCAGTCTCAAAAATATAAAATGATACATTTAAACATAGGTAATCAGAGATTTCAGAGCTCACATCAAAGAATGTTGTCTTTACGTATGTCCCTAGATGCAACATTTATGCAATTTTGCACTGATAGGGCTTGAAAGTAAATGGCCTTATCTAAAAACTTCAAACTAGTCACTCATCCAGAAAATTAAGTCAAATCCAGCATCTGAAGCAAATTTGAGAGTGTTCGTCCCTTAATGCAGCATCCATGCGAATATGGTTCTGATAAGCCTTATAGTTTCTTGGGAATGGACCTGCTCCAAAAAATTTAACCTGGTCACTCATCTGGAAACTATAGTCAGATCCAGCATCCGAAGCAAGTCCAGTAGTGTGCATCCTTAGATGTATTATGCATGCAAGTTTGGTTAACATAGGACTTATAGTATTTGGAAATGAGATCTGCTCCAATTTAAAATCTTTAACCTGGTCACTCATCTGGAAACTATAGTCAGATCCAGCATCCGAAGCAAGCCTGATCGTGTGCATACTTAGATGTATCATCCATGCAAGTTTGTTCAATATAGGACTAATAGTTACTTGGAAATGAGATCTGCTCCAAAACTTTAACCTGGTCACTCATCCGGAAAATGTAGGTCACATCCAGCATCCGAAGCAAGCCTGGAAGTGTGCATCCTTAGGTGTATCATCAATGAAAGTTTGGTCAATAGAGGGCTTATAGTTACTTGGAAATGAGATCTGCTCCAAAAACTTTAACCTATTCCAAAAATATTAACCTGGTTATTATTTAAATGAAATTGCGGCATCTGAAAACTTGACGGGTACAATGAAACACACTAGAATCATCCTCCATGCATCTCTGATTAATATAGGGCATAAAAGTACTTGAAAAGAAATCTGCTCCAAAAACTTTAACCTGGGACGCCGACACCGAGGGTATTACATAAGCTCCCAAAACTTCGTAGAGGTGAGCTAAAAATGAATTATGCCAGGCAAGAATGCTTAATAATTAATTTGTCATATACAAACGAAGTCTGTTTTTAAATACACTGTTACATCATGTAGTCTGGTTGAATACAAGTACCTAGGCGTAACATTTTACTCTTAAGCTCTTCTCCTTTGCTCAAAAGCTACTTTATTAAAAAGCAATATCATTTCTTTAAAACAGAAAATAAATAAATTTCACTAAATCCAGACCTAAAAAATACAATTCATATTTTTGACCAGTAAACCTATTTTATTTTTTGCATATGGAATTAAGGGGTTTTAATCATTTACTTAAAAAAAATAGCACTCCTGGCTGAAGAATTGACATGATATACTCCAACTTAATCTGTGACAAACTTCATCTGAAATTTCGCAGTTCAATACTTTGTATGCATAAATCTGCAACTAATCGTGCCGTATTTTCTTAATTGGATAGATTTCCCCTACACGTAGACATTATACTATCAATGATAGTTTATTGATATGGCCTTGAAAATTTAGGTCAGTCTTTTCCAATTTTACAAGATGAGTACTGTGAATCCAAGTCACTATTTGAGAAAATCTGCCTGGTATAGTTCCATGAATTTTCTTTTCACCAATATAGATGGTATTTGTGAATTAACTTCAATTAAATTTCATCATAAGGAAAAATGCTGTCCACTTTATTCATAAATTAATGGTAACGACGTGTCCGAATGATGATATTCTCAATACGTTATGTCAACAATTAAGTTCCATATTATTATTTCCCCAGACCATTTTTTTTTTCTTAGAAACTGAAAGTACAACAAATAAAAGCTTCATATCTTCATCTAAGATGAGGACGAAATCTGTAAGAAAATTGTAAATCTACCACGTTTTTGCATATCATTCAAGTTTTGGGCAAATTAGAACAAACCTTATAATCATTTGCTTCTCACATACTAAAATAATATTATACATAATTTGAAAAAAGTTGGCAAGGTTACATACATCGAATTTAATAATTTGATAAAACCGTCGGTAAAATAAACTCCCATCAGTATTTTCAGTATATGAAGGTAGTACAAATGAATAATACATCAAATGTACACCAAAGGTCTAGAGTTATGTGTCTTTATTTATTTATTTCATAATTTATTTTTGTCGATAAAAAGAGATGTATACAATATTAATTTAATCTAATAATTTCAAAACTCCAAGATTAATTCGCCAATAAATTTTACTTTTTTCTATGAATACAGAATAAGTGCAGTATAAGAAAAACAGTCGGGAAATTCCGAAAAAAATGTTCATCTTGCGTTCACCTAGCATTCACCTTGAGTTCAGCGTTCACTTTGCGCTTGCGTTCGCACTCCGTTCGCGTTCTGCGTTCGCTCACCGTTCACCTTTCACTAACCGATCACCTCCTTGCATTCATCGTTCACACATCGCTCACTCGCCGTTCGCTCTGCGTTCGCTCAGCATTCGTTCACCGTTCGCTCAGCGTTCAAGTGGGGAAGTAGAACGTTTCAGGGACTTTATTCACATTTCATATTTGATAAACATTTATTGAGTGTTTGACATGTACCAGATCCCCTTCCTCTCTTGTCGTTGTTCTTGCCGTAGCACATGAATGGATAGCCAAAATAAACTCTTTAAACTGACATTTATGATTATTAGAATTGCATCATCTTTAATACGGCCTAAACAAGATTATATTCGATTTAGTTCACCAAAGGTATTACCTTTTTATGTTTTTAAGACAAAACAATAGATGAATGATGATGTGACTAGTTTTGAGCTGTTGCCTTCTGTCATTGTTTTACTTTTTCCCAGTTAAATTAATGTATTTATTTGGTCTTTACTAAGCTCGGTCTACTTGATGGTTTCACAGAGAAGACAATTTGAAATTTGTTATAGATAGGTTTGATAACAAGGTGCGTGTTATTAAAAACACACTGATCATTTTAAGCCATACTTGTTTTGATAAACGTTAACGTTCACTCATCATTATCTGCAATGAACAGACCATCAATTTATTTTGTCTATACCGAGCTCCGTCTACTTGTTGATTTCACAGAGAAGACATTTTCAGTGTAAATAATTTTTATAACCAGACGCATCTCAGTAAACACACTCTAATTGCTTGTAAGCAATACTTGTTTTAATATACGTTAAAGTCCATTCTTCATTATTATTTTCTGCAAAGATCAGACCATCCAACAGCAGCGACCAACTGCAGGCGACACACAAATGATATGATACAGGATTTCTGGCATGTTTCTGACAGCATTTTCACTAAAAGTTGTCTCAATTTCCTAATAGCCTTTGTATTTCTTCTCAGAGATTTTGCAAATATCTGCAAATGTCATTGTCGTTATAACATGTCGCTGCAAATGCTCTCAAGTCTTTTCACATCTTTGAGCTTGGATTTCCCTTGGAATTTGGAGTAGAAGTAAAAAAAATAATTTTTCACTGCTTAGAGACTATAATTTCCAAGTAAAGATTTTAATTTGCAGCATTTTACAGGCAATTGACAGCGTCAAAATATAATTGAAAGATTCTTAACAAAACCAAGCAAGCAAGCAGCATACAAAAATGTATAGTTTAATATTTGTACGAAGTAAAATTATGAGTTTTTTAAAGACTCTTGATAACCTTCTCTTTGTGCTAATCTAATAGACAAATCGAATTACACGACGGATAGTTTTGCCTTTCTAAGTATCTGTATGCACGCACTTTATTGTCTGATAATCCAACCCAAAGAAGGTGAGTTTTGTGATCATAACTTAGACACCGTGGTCTATCCATTAATTGATACACCCTCAGAATCGGTGGTAAAATATGACCGTCCTTGTTAATCATTAGTACTGAATAGGTTTTATAATCACCCACCAGGATATGTGACAGCGTGTCTGTACAGATTCCACTCGGCATTAGTCCTGCCTCTAATGAAGATTCTTTGATGGAGAAGCGATGTCTCCCTTTACGATCTGTCACCACCACAGCATGGAAAGAGTCTGACACAATAACATCTCCATTAAGGTTCTCTGTGATATACACAGGATATTTATACAGTTCCTGACCTTTACTGTTGTATTGTATTGTCTGCATGTGTTGTCCTGTGTTGTTGTAACGGTTTACCTTGCATGTCTCCTTATCAATATTATACATTCCTACCAGTAAATCTCCATTGATGGGGGAGCAGTGTACACAGTGTGCTTTCCACTGGTTTGTTTTCTTTATCAGTGTAGACATAGTTTTCATGTCTTTAGTCAGTTTGTTAATGTTAAATTCTTTGTCAGTATAAATAAGTTCACCAGTACTGTTCACTGTGTGTATCCCTGTATAAAAACCCAGTACATCCGTCAGATGATGTAGTTTGTCACCATCTGTGTTTGTCAAAATGAGATTGTTATACCAATCACTAATCCAGACGCGGTCTGATGTCACACAGGAAATGTGATCTACATTACTAACACCTGTCACTGTGATAGATCTGCGTAATGTAGGTGTAGACACATCGTATTTAAGTTGTCTAGTTCCTGTCTCTTTGATGTGGACTTCACCCAGTAACTTGAACACATTCTCTCTGTTGAGGTACTCAGTTGGAGAGAGCAGTATGCATTGTGTAAGATAAGTGTCCTTCATCTTGGGGACACAGGTTTTCTTAAGAAATAAAATGAATTTAGCCGGTGTGTGCAATGAATGTTCAGATCTGTGTTCACAGTTCTCTATGCTGGCAAGGTGTCTGTTCGTTATTTTTCTTTGCTGTTTAAATCTCTTTAGAAGATTTTTGTGTCTCATTCTAAATTCACTAATCACAGTGTCAATGAGATTTTTCAATCTTTGAGCTTTTATTGACATCTGTGAATGACAGTTGGATATTTCTCTGTGACAAGTTTTTATATCACTTTTGATTCCTGCCAGGATAAAACAGCTTTGATAGAAAGTCTCACTTCTGATGTTGTTAATGATTCTTCTGTGTTGTTGGCGGCTTGTTTTATAAGCTGTTCGAATGTCCAGTATTTTGTGTTTCCTTCGTTTTATGCATTTTAAAAATAAAGAAAGTACATGTATTTTGTTATTTCTGTGTTCTGTACATTGGGCACAGATAGGAAATTCACAGGAATGACAGTATTTTTCATAGTTTCTGTCTGGATGTCTAACACAGGATTCTTGTTTTGTAAAGTTTTCATATATCTCTCTATAAATCACAACATCATGATATATGGTATCTAGGTCAATAATATGCATCTTTTTACATTGTAGACACAAGTCACGTTTACATGTGTTACAGTAAAATTCTACGTCTCCTTGACATTGAGAACACTGTCGTACTTTACACTGGGTGATGAATCCTAGCACATCCATAATGTGAGAAACCTAGGTTTTAAAACATGAAATAGTATCTTAGATTATAAAATATAACAAGTCAGATTATGTAAAAAGTATGTCTTGTAAATGAAAATTTGTTTAATTTTCAATAAATACTTCTTTTTATATATATAAATGTATTTGACACAATAGTGACTTTGATATTTTTGAAGGTAATTTACAACATGTATATTACAATTCATACTTAAAAGTTTATGTATTTACAAATAATCAGGAGTATTTAAGCGTATACATATATCACCATCATTTTTTTCAATCCAAGGCATGTATTAAAATAAATCAGCAATGGATGTTGCAAGTTTTATGATCGATACAATGACCTTGTCAGGAAAAACAATCTATCATTTAGCCGCATGCTGACTGACGTTTTTCATACTAATTGTTAGGCCATTATTTACTGATTTCTCTACAGATTTTTCCTTTTGCCCGATCATGACAATGAGCACACGGCAGGTGTGACCAGTCGAAAGGGGATGCTTATTTCTCCATGGCACCTGATCCCATCTCGGATGTTTTAGAGGTCTGTATTTGCTCTGCTCCCAATTTGTATTGTTTAATGGACTTTTGAGCTGTTCATTATCTCCATATTTCATTGCCACGTTATTAATGCGATTCTCAAAAAGATATTAAGCACAGTAAGTTTGATAAAAATAGCTCTGATAGTATGATGTATTTGCATCAACGAAAATAGATGTTCATGTTGATTATCAAAGCTTAATTGATTTTCACAATCAGAAAAAAAAATAGATGTAAAACGACAATACATGAAAAGACATGACATACTTAGTAAACTAAAAAAAAAGTTTGTTTTTTTTTTTTAGAAAATATGATAATAAAAATAAAGCAGACTAGTCGTCGGAAGCTTGTTTCAAGTTAAAATCTTTCATTGAAGGTTCTTGTGATGGTTCAAAATTTAGTAATAAAATGTAGAACAATGAGCGAAATTAGGAAATCAGTAACTCTAGTACATTGCAAGTCTTTTTTTAAACATATTAAACACATATCTTTTTACTATGCAGAATACTTAACTCAATTCTGCTTGAATTGAAAATGGAAATGGTCCTAATCCAGGGAACTTTTTTTTCAATTGATTATTTAAATCTATGGAAGCGTGAAACCTAATTCATTTTCAAAAATAGGAATACATAAAGTTATATTACATGTATAAAGTATATCCATGTAGCTCAATATAACTTGATTTCATCATTTTCTTAAACACTAACAGTAATTTTAACTTTCCATTCTATGGAAGCATTTTTTCTCTTTGCAATGCTTATACATCTTTAATAGATATACTTACGTAGGAACAAGATACCAGCCAGTGTGTACTCATAATTCATTTATCTACGACTTTCTATATTTCTAGGTAAGATAATTACTTCTCATTTTCTAGGTGTTTGGATTCAATTTAAATTGCTCCCATCGTCCAAAAACACAATTAAGAGGTATTCAATATAAATATTATTTTCACTGCAATGCTTCAATGCACACAATCAAGGGTAAGGATATATCCCCTTTCTTCTTGATGAGGTATTATAAAGTTTTAAATACCAGATTTTTATTTCATGTGTCCTTTACATTTAATCTTTCTGCAATACATTGAACATCTAATATGAAAATGGCCTTAAAATTAAACCTATTATTAAAAGGTGAGTTTATTACGGTCAGAGAAATATGTACACGGAATGTTAATACATTCTTTAAAAATGAACTTCTCTGTCATACTTATACTTTCTGGAATTGAAATCTATTCTTCACCACTTTTATAACTTTGGAAAGCGCATGCAATCTATTCTTGATTATTGCGCCGATAGTTTTTAATTAGACCTCGTATTTCTTGACTTGTGTGTTAATGTGATTGTGAAACTTACAAAGAATTAAATTAAACATTATGGTCATTGTACAATGACTGATCTTCTTTCGTACATTCTGTTATTTAAAAAGAGATGCAATGTATTCATTTATGTAAATAGGCACACCCAGGAGATCTCTGCATCCTTATTTTCTATTAACTCACTAGTTATTCAAAAGTATTGAATGTAAAAAAAAAGAAGTCATTTCTTATTTCGGAATATGGCATATATTTTAATCAATGTGTCTATTATAATTGTAGCGCACATATATAATGATGACAGTTTTGACTTAAACAACTATTTGTTAACTGTATTAATAACAAGTTTCCACCAGAAAGTATCACTAGGATCTCACAAAAAATCATCTTTTTTTCAATTCTAAGGATACTATATTAATTTGCACATATTCAAAAAAACAACATTATTTATGAGATAAATTCATGTAATTATGAAAATACTGACCTCTACGTCTCCAATTATGGTGTCTTTATAAAGGAAATTTAAAAAAAAAAATTGCTACATCGATAATGTAAGGTAGTCCTTATTTGATTAAGGTTCTGTTAACATTTAAATGGTTCTCATTTCCAAAACCAATATGTGGTATTTAGTCATGTAACCCCTCCATGTATAAATTTAAAAGGTCATATTTCCCTGTAGCTCAGGTGTACTTTTAGTAACAGTGGCAAAGTGAGACATCAGAATTTAAATCTAATGCGTAGAATGATGTATCCTGGCACCTGTACATTTTATTCATGTATTAAGTTTAAATGAAATTAAACTTAAACAACATTTTATAGAAAATATTCAATTTCGATTGAGTACTTAAAATATGTTATATGAGTGTTTTAAGTTATAGAGTCGCGGATTAAGAAGTTGATCCACAGAAGGAAGTGTAGACCGATCTTTCGAATGAAATCATATTAACCGAGATCCCCTATACAAATAAGAGTTGCCTTCACTGTTCATTGGTCATAAGTCAATTAATGGTCAGTTATAAATTTGCAGTCTTTCATCAGCAATGGATGGCGCCCAAATATGAGTGAAAAAATTCTCAAAATAACTCAAACTTATATTTTCAATTTAACCGAAAAAATGTCCCTTGATCATATGATGGATAATACAGTATGGTAATGTCTGTGCATTAACATGTGTAATTATTTCATTTAGTATGAATGATAATGTTGAAAACGTATCTGATTTAAGAAACAAGGAATTCGGAAAGAGGTTTTTGTCGGTGTCATTGCTCGGAGAGAAATAGCCGGTTTTTGTTACGGTGTTCAAAAGGATATGCTGACTATTCACACCCAAATTAACATCAAACATTTACGCAAGAACAAAATTTTTGACCACAGTTACTGGGTATGTTTTTGCTCTGCACAAACGTTGCCAGAATATGTACCTGATTAATAATCTATTTAATATTTACTTTTATTATATACCCAACTGTTTGTCACTCAGTTTTACTGTTGAATTTATGCAATCACGTGACGGTGTGATCTGATGTTCCGGATAACCACACTGTGGTTTTCTGAATCCATATCACCCCTCTCTGAAACTGATGACGTAGTACACAGATAAATGACGTTTTTATTCTCGCGTATCAAAAAGTTCCCTGACAAAATGGTTTGTTAAATGGATAAAAGTTATGTAATTGACGCTCCGCGTCTCGTTTGATCTGATGATCCGCGCCTGTCAACGAGACGTGATACGGCTCTTCGGATCAAGTTACTGTTATAATAATATATATGTCTTTTCAGGTATGTTTTGGGGTATGACATCGATATTTGATCTTCTTCATTAACAATTCACAAAAATACAAGATCATTAAAATTAGTAAGCATTTGTGTTTTGTGCGATCTTCCTTTCCTGCATTAGATTAACTTCTGACCTATTAAAACGATTATAATTTGAGTTTTTCAAAATAAATATGATTGTTTTTCCAGAAAAAAAATATCGATTTTCTAGGACTCGCTTAAATTGGACCAAAATTTAACTCAAAGAAATCCGATATTTAGGCAAGTATATACGGTAATAAAAATGTATTTATTGTATGGCACCTGATCCAACCTCTGATGTTTTGGAGGTCCGTGTTTGCTCTGCTTCTATTTTGTATTGTTTAATGGATGAGTATATTCGGTAATAAAAATGTATGTATTGTATTTTATTGATGAGGTAAAATAGCTTAAAATACAGAATTTTCTTAGAAAAATAATTCCATTGAAATATAACATTTCATCGCGTGTACATTTTTCTCCTATTCATGTTTTCTGGATTTTCATGAATAAACTAAATAAAACAAAATGCTTAAAATGATAAATTTTGAACGGAAAACGTCGCACATGACTACATAGTACTTTCTTTGTATCAATCTGTCAAACAATTTCATTGACGCTGTATGACAAAATGAATGAGGTGTTCATTGATGAAGCAGGAAATCTGGAAAGATGTTTTCCTGTGTTTGAGGTAGCTATTTACTGTGGATCATGTTCATTCTAATGAGCTAACTCTATCGACTAAAATGCTCTGTCTACAGTCCAAAAGAGGAAGCAATGGGGAAATCTACGAAAGACTGCCGCTATTACCAAAATATGGTAAGTGTATCAAATCTGTAGAGGATGTTATTTTCCGCAACTGTATGCTGTTAAAAGTTACTTGTTGAATTAAATATCCTATTAATTTATTTATATTTTTACATTTACAAATCTTGAAATCACAGCAAGGGAACTAAAGACTGACACAGGCAGGGTTCTTCGTAGGCCTTACTTAGTGTCACCCGAGTGTAAACAGAATCAATCCAATTAATGTTAAATTTGGCCAGTCCTTTTACATTCAGAATCATCACTTATAACAGGAAATGTGATTTTATGAACATATTTCTTAAAATTGATATGTTTAAAACATTTTATAAGGTTTTCTTTTTTCATAATCGGTTAATTAAGCACCTTTGCAAATGTTTACATTTTGAAATGGGAAGAATAACAGTCATGTTAATATCTGGGGGGGGGGATTCCCGCTTGCTGGGGGTAATTATTTAGAACAACTTTAAAAATACGAAGAAGGAAGTCAAATCCTTCGATAAGAAAAGCCTGTGTGATATGGTGTGTGTATTGTTTGGATTTAATAAACAATTCTCCACTATTTTTTGTCACTCAAAGATGATTTTATAACTACATTTAAAAAAAAAATATGTGTTCTACTTTCTAACACGTTTAACATAATGAAGATTTATATTTACCAATGGTAGACTTTGAATCTTCTGCACAAGGTTATATAATTAATCCAGATTAATTCATTGCAGCTTCCAGAAGTTTACAGTGGGAAAAGTTATCTTATATAAAGAATGACATCTAGCTCCTAACCAGATGACATACAGAATCAAATTTGGTCTTAAAATATGTCTCAATTACTGCCTATAGAAACAACATACTAAATTTTTATTTAATAGGATAATCATTTAAAAAGTTAAAAGAAAAATTGAGAAAAATTGTGGACGGAGAGAAAGACGGACAGACGGATGGACAGAGTGATTACTACAGGGCACAGCATATTCTTATAGGGTCCTAGTTATCTTTATCAGTTCCTATAAAAGTGTGAAAATGACTTTCAGTATATTTACAGCAATCTATGTAATAACACATTGAAAATCTAGACCATTTATCCTTTGCTGTTTATTTGTGTTTACACTGAACTCCGTTGTGTGCGATAATAACACCTATTTTAAGTAGATCCCTCGACCTATTTAAGTTACAAACGATAATCAGTTTAAAGAAGGAAGACCATTGCCACGAGATGTACGAAAAGAAATAAGCTTCAAGTAGAATGAACTTATCAAGAAAATGTTTCAGAGAATGTCAAAGATAATATAAGACGTTGTTTGAAGTTATTCCACATCGCGATTTAAAAATTGTGCAATGGCATTTGCCAAAAAATGCCTTTCTTTGATATACGAAAGAAAATCTATTATACACCCTAAAAGATTGGCTATAATATCAACGTTTTGTAGCATTAGTTTCCTATTTAAAAAGTTACTTACTTTTTCATAGAATTATATAACTTATTTCAAAGGAAAATTAGATTTCTATGCTCTTTTGTCGACTTTTTTGCAATTGTGGTTCGATAACATACGGTATAGGGGATACTCTACTTTATCATATGTGCAGATACTTTTGCCCCGTTTTCTGATCATATCCAGACACCGTTGTGGTAAAAAATGATCGTGTTTGTTAAAATTGGTTCGTTTTGAATTAGCTCCTTTATAATGGGACAAAATGGGCGCGAATATTTTCCTGTATACAGTAACTTTTTGATTTGTAAAATATAATTCAAGATCATTGATATTGACGAAATGATAAAAAATGTAATACTTTATACATTTCAGTTGTCAGAGTACGACAGTATGGAAATAACGTGGCCTTAACTATTGATGATATAGACAGAAGGTTTGACAAGGTCACGTGGGAAAGAAATGGAGAGAAAATAGGACACAACAACCAGAAATTTCACATCTTACTGGATCTGCCAAACGTTGTTTCTTTGGTAATCCATGATGTCACAATCAATGATAGCGCCACCTATCAGTGCATATTGAAGTCAGGAAGTGATATGGAGAGAAGTGAACTTACTGTACTTGGTTTGTACAATGTCAAAGCTTGTAGTGGTATTATTGTTATGACGTCATATATAACAATTTGTACAAACCATGCTTAATCACTCATTGTGTTTAATACGTATTTGTTTCTTCTTCCTTTCAGAGTTATGTCCTATCAAATTAATAGGACCGACATTCCAAATAAAGACGGAATTGACAAGGACACAAATTCAATCACGGCTGACGCATCAACCCTACCTTTCTACGAATTGGCGCAGCCGGAACTACGTCAAATATGATGTCATTATTAGTACAGTTAAAACAACAGAGCACATAAATAAAGGTTTGTTCTTTCATCCTTACTTTTCACAGTGATAGGGGCATATTACATATCTTAGTTAACACCACTAAGACGTTACTCAGTCGGGACTAAATTATTCACTTCCTAATACACCTGCATCGTCAATTTATTTTCTCATCAATGTGTTCTTTGTAATACACACTGATAAATATCACTTATTTTTTCTGTAACATAAGATATTTTTAAACTTAATTTAAATTTCAGTTAAGTCATCCTTCATTTTTTAATATTAAAATCTCGTATTAAAAGATTCTGAATATCCTATCAACACCAAGTCTAAGCATTTCTGAAGCAATGTATTAATTTTTTTTTTTGAACTTATATTCATTCCTCTTTTTTTTTCTTCAAAATCAACTTATCTTTTTTTAGATTATGAAATACCCGCTACATCACTTTTACATATTTCTAGATCCTTTCTATGAGACCTCTGAGACGGCCATCACAAGGAGTCTACACTACGGTATCCTCTTAAGTAAGAACTCTAGGCTTCGATGGAAGGCCCTCAAAGGTCCCTCCGTAATCAACGATATTTATCAGAGATTTCACAATACCACCATACATACAAGGTCACCCCAAGAATTTCGGAAGAAGTGCAAAGCAATATCAACTCTCAAGTGTTCAGAAAGTCACGTGACCTTTGCTTCTGATGACGTCGAGTTTGCGACTCTTTGGACATTTTTACAAAATGGTAGTATTACAAGCAAGATGGAGGCGTTGTTTGAATGTCGAAATTTAATGATTTTGAGGAGATACTTCAGGAGCGACAGACATATACTAGAGGAAAACGAGAGATGTGTCTGTTTACCGAGGGTTTATCGTGAAAAATTGAAATCTAAAGCTCAAGAATTCAAAACATGTCAAAACAAATCACATCTTGGCTGAAAAGGTTCATTGATCAAAAAAGATCATATGGATAAAAAAAAATAAAGGAAGGCTCCTTTTAAAGACCTTTGAGCACATTCTTCTTTAATTTGTTTTTTTTAATGATCACATATTTGATCCATTTGAATATATCTATTCAAAAATAAAGAGCCTTAATCGTTATACCCGCACTTTCTGAAGAAAGTTCGGGTATATTGTTGGTACCCCTGCCTGTCCGTCCGTCTGTCTGTCACACTTTCTTCTTAAACTATCTTCTTCTCTATTTTAAGCAGAATTCATTAATCTTTTGGAATATGATAGGGTGTCCTACTATAGATGTGCAATAAGGTTTTGGAATTTCAATTTAACCCTGGGGCAAGACGGGGGTCATAAAAGGGCGATTTTTAGACAAAAGCCACCTTCCCTGAAGTCCACCTACATTTTACGCAGTAGCCTAATCATCTTTTGGAAGATGATTGTTTGTGTCCTGTAGATGCACATGTACAATAAGGGTTCGGAATTTTCATTTTCACCCTTGGGGTCAAATGTGGGTCAATGTCTTCTATCCATGTTCCTAATTTGAATTCATAATGTCATAAGGTTCTCAAACTATGCCCTGAATTATTTTCATGTAAAAGATTGACCTTGACCTTATAAATGGGTCATGATAAACATTTTGTCGACATGCATCCTTTCTCCATACCACCTCTCCATGTTCTAAGGTCGAAGTTTTAATGTGAAAGGGTTCTTAAGTTATGATTTGGAAGTGTTTTTCTCAATTTGTCCTTGAATAAAGAAAGGAGTCAAGGTCAAAATTTTTGTTCAGTCCATCTTGCTTGAATGTTTTCTTTCTATGTTACAAGTTTGAAAATCTAACGTCAAAGGGTTCTCAAGTTATAGCCTGGACTAAATTTTTTTGTAGAGATTGACCTTGACCTTATCAAAACGTCAAGGTAAAAAAGTTTGATGGCCTTAACCCCACCTCTAAACCACCTCTCCATGTTCCAAGATTGAAGTCTTAATGTCAAAGGGTTGTCAAGTAACTGCTTGGACAAAGTTTGATTAAAGAAGAAAACTGACAAAAACAATATGTAGACTAGTATAGTCTACTTGTCGCATCCAAACTTTTGGAGGAGTAGAGTTTTGAAAGAACATATTTGTTTCCACATTATGTAATGAAACTGTCAAATAAGATTTAACTTTTCTTGCCAAGTGGTTCTTGAGAAGAATATTTGAGAAGAAGAGTTTTGAAGATTTTTTTTATACAGTAAAGCATGCTTATAGCAAAAACGCTTATAATGAATTGACGCTTACAGGGAAGCGATTTTCATTCCTCATGACTTTAAAATATATTGTAAACTTTATGGATATAAGCAATTACACTGATAATGAAGCAAAATCGTCCGTCCCAGGCATTTACTTATAAGTGTGTTTTACTGTACATTCCCATGTTTACAAAACTTTGGTCCCCTGTTGTGGCCTTACCCTACCCCCGAAGGTAATGATTTGGACAAAGTTGAATCATCAATGTAAAAAAAAAATAAATTGTCTTATAATTTCATTTTGGCCTATGTAGATGTTATAAAGAAAGAAAGAGGAGAGAGAGAAAAATATTACCCCTCACCCCCCATGTATATAGCCCCATGCAAAACTTTATAAGCTTGTGATATCAAATGCTCAGGAGACACAATATTTGAAAGGCATTTTTTCCATGCATTGTTTTCAGAAAACTCAAAGCTGAAAATTAAAAATTTATACCCATGTCAACTCAGTTCAACTTTTATCCATGTTGACAAAAATATACATTAAAAAGTATGATTAAATAGCTAAATCAAAGTGTTTTGAATAGCATAATCAAGCTATACAAGTATAATACCAGTATGGCTAATTCAACTACAGAGCTTAATCAATTTTTAGAGATTGTACAAACCTGTTTTAATTCTTAATCATTCTTAAAATATTTATATCACCATTCCTGATTTAAGGAAGAGCTAGGAATATGACCAAAAAGTCCATGATCTATTGATTAAATAAACATGTATGTTGTGAGAAGATCAGTAAATAATGATGACGAGTGGGAAATTCACAAAGGATGATTCTCTATAAGGTCATTTTCCGGCCTACGATAAAATCACTTAAAAATGAGATTTTATGTAACTTTAATCATTCTATTTTATGATTCTGGAGTTTGTTTTTCAACATCGATCACCTAAGTCACGTGATTTAAAAAAAAAACAAATGGTGGTCAAGTAATGCAAAATTAAGGGTAGTCTATAAACACCAGCTTTCTATGCATGTTTCTAAATTGAAATAATCATAAACTGTTTATTTAAGTCGGGTGTACATCAAATTAAAGCAATGAATACAAAGATTGTTTAATTTAAGGATTAAGATAATTTTTTATGACATGAATTTTGATGCATTCACATTTTGCATATTTTGAATGTAAATCGTTACAAAATGCACACCGTATGATCTTGAAAAATGATTAATAGTATAAGTTTTATTTGTAATTGTGTATTGATTTTATAGATGTGCTACCTGTTTAACGCATGAAATTTTTATATAAGAAATATGGTTTCGAAGTATCCATTAAGCTTAAACAGCTGTGCATCAATTGTTCAAAACATAGAAGGACTTTTGTTCGTTATTGAATAAAAATTGAGTTGATATAAATAAAATAGATTATAAATTAAGAAAAAAATAAAGATTCCTTCAACATGCAGGATAAAAATATTAATGCAAGTGTGTATTGATCAATCATATGAGTAGTGAGTATATAAAACAAAGAACGGATGTATTAAAAATATATACTGGTACATACAATGAGTTATCAACGTAAGATTGGCTTTAATTTCATTTTATTTCGCATGTATAATAATATATTTAGTTAAAATTATATCCAAAAAATAATAAACATATGTATATGTAAAAGTCAAGTCTATGTCCCGTTTTAACGATACTCCATTAAAACGGGGAAGATTTTCAACAGCTCCTTTCACAATGCATATTAAAAGTTTTAGTATATCCACTGACTGACATCCCAGGTATAAAATGGGTCCTAAGGGTTCGATGCTCGGTTTGAACTCTTGAGACCCAAGGGTTCAATTCTCGTTCCAAGTCCCGCGTAAAAAAAACTAAACAAAAACAAAAACTAAAAAGACATTTAACCCACTTAGTGACTGTTCCTTTGCTAAGTCCTCGGCGTTAAAAGTCAAAGTCATGGGTCTTTTGGATATTACCTTAAAAAAAGAGTTCGCGTCAATAATTATGATACAATGCATAAATCAAAATTGTGACATTTTACCTACAGCAGATAATCTCTTTATTTGGGTAAAAAATTCTAAAATGCATCATTCATTGTAACCTTAGGGACATCACCCCTTTATCATTTCATTCTTTAAGACAGAACTGCTGTTCTTGTAGCTAATAAATACTACCAAAGAAGTGTGTTGCTTCCTGAAATCCAAATAGATTGAGTCCTCTCAACACTCAGGTAACACAAAATATTTGGATCTTATGTCACTCATACCAAAAAAATATGAGGGTTCCTCTTCAAAGTTCAGGTGAAAATTCCCATTATGAACCCACCCCATCAATAATTCCCTATCTATAAAAGTTAAATGTTACCTATAGAAAAATAAGTTAAAACATTGTTGTGACGTCATGCCTTTGTTCTTGCAGTCTAAAAATTTACCTCTAGCCGTCCGATAATAATAATTAGCAGTCCAATAATATATTATCGGACGGCAGTGATAACAAAATCGGACAGTAGTTAAAAAACAACAACTAGAGTGATATCAAGGTTTAATTTGTCCAGAGACCAAAAAAAAAGTTAGGGAGAAAAAATTCAGGGAAAGCGAACGCGAGGAAATTAAGTTGTTAAAAATAGCAAATCCAAGAAGAAACTGGAATTTTAACCTTCCTCAAAAGTAACACTTTCTATTCGTTTTTTTGCAAAGCGTTTTCGATACAGCACTGTGAATAAGCCAATTTAAATCCATTTCTGAAAAAGAACCAGTCTGCGAATCTCTTCATTTAACGAGGTTTGTTCGCCAATGACCGCACTTTTAAAACCAAGATTTTCATTATATCATCCAATGAAAATTTTAGATAAAAATCCGCATTTTTACTTTAAATGCAATTTGAAGATATCATCCAACACTGTATCTGTATCATTGTCAAACGCACTTAATAAAAAAGAATATTCCGAATCATAAAAAAAATCCTTCATCACCTGACCACTGTCCATAGTTCCTGCTAAGCCAAACGACTGCCATTGAATGAATGAAACAAAAGAGTTCACTCACTTATTTTACTGTCTAATGAAAAAAAACTTTCTTTTTTCTTTTGTTTACTTATTAGATGGTTTCAGGTAGAAAACTATTGATGCCTGAACTCCTATTGTGTAATTATCGGACTCCTCCAGGTAAATTTTGGACATTTAAATAGCAATGTTTTAAGTAAGATATATGCCTTATACAATTCTATATGTAAAATTATCAGACTGTTTTCGGCCCTAACGGGCCTCAAACTGTCTGATAGTTTTACATATAGAACAGTATTCGGCATATATCCATTGCTTAATAATACAAATAGCAAATTTATCTACCCACTACAACAAAGATATCTTTTACATGTACCACTTCTAGTACTAACATATAGGCGGTACTACTAAGGAACAAATGCAAAAAAATGTAGCATCAATATACTTAACTCTAAGAACATATAGAAAATAATATAATAGTTTGGTTATTTATTGAAAATATCAATATGAATTTTGATAAAAACTTGCATTTGTATTCACACCTGAGTATGTTAAAAAAATTCTTTATTTCTAGCAAACAGTTAAAATAAGTTGTCTTCACGTGTTATATATATATATATATATATATATATATATATATATATATATATATATATATATATATATATATATATATATATATATATATATATATATATATATATATATAACTCCAGTCTTTTCAATGCTTTCACTTTAGATTTTATGGTGAAAAGTTGAGATTTTTCGAATAAAAATGCATCACTCATATACTTTTATTGGTTATTCAAAAGAAACATGTGCTCTA